CATTTGCCTTTATCTGGAACAGTTGGAGTGGGTAAATCCTCCATTGCACATGCGATTGCATATGAGTTAGGTCAGCCAATAAAGGTAATTAAGATGATGTACATGTATGAATTTTTATTGATTGAATCATAGGAAGCTACTTGTACAGAGTTGTTGTCACATACTGTGTCTTCAAATCCTCGTGCTGGGCGTGGTGTGGCTACCTTTTTCAGGGATGCTGCGAGGGCTAATGCTATAGTTGTGCTAGATGGGGCAGAGTTTATACTGGGATCAGTGTCAAGTGAGTGTTGATGATGTGATAGGCATACCGTATAGCAGGAAATTTTCGTTGCCAGAAACTTTCGTTGTCTTTCCAAGAAGGCCTTACAAGATATTTTCGTTGATTTTATTTTCGTTTTGCCTAATATAAATTTTCACTGCCACGCCCATTTAATTAGTACCACATGTATGGTTTAAGATGGAAGAATGTCTATGGTTCCATGTGGTTCACCGTCGTTACCACATTTATGAAGACATTTGGAGCCCATCAGTTGGAGAAGAACTGCCTTTTGTGTCAATTCTGATAATACAACAGATTGCTATGCCGTGCCTGTAGTGAAAGAGGATCTGTCACGGGGAAAATTTTAGTTAGATTAAATTTTCATTGTCTTAAAATTTCGTTCAAATTTTTGGGCCAACGAAACAAACGAAAATTAGCACCCAACAAAAATTTCCTGCTATACGGTATGCATGTACAATGTATGTAATAATAATAATCATAATAGAATTCAAATAATGATACTAGTATAAATAGCAGTTTTTGGGATTTTTTCATAATTAATTTTTGAATAACCTTTCTCATTCAGGTGTTCAATCAAGTGGTGTGATAGGATGTGAGACATATTCATTAGCTTATCAAATTGAGCAGTACACAGGTAATGTTTTATGATAAATTACAATGTATTAATTAAACTGTACATTTACATGTACGTGTAGGTATGACTATCCTTACCACAAGGTATGAGATTGGACTTCTTGATCTATCCCGGCTTCCAAAAATGAGGTACAATGTACATGTAGTTAAGTTAGTCAATTGATGGTACATGCATATTAATTAATACAGGTATGTGGTTCCACTGTGGACTCCCAGTGTTAACCTGAGAGAAAAAATATGGAGTAAATTATTGCCTAAAAAACTACCAGTCTCATCTTCAATTGATGTAAAGAAACTAGCTGAAAGGTAGGGATTCCTTTACAATCAAAAACATTATTTAATACTTCAAGTACGGTATAAAATGACTGGTTGTTTAAATGATATTGAAAGCTGCATTTTATTGTACGTAGGTTTAGCTTCACAGGAGGTGACATTGGATCAGTTATATGTACTGCTGCCGAAATTATAGCTGGAGGAGATAATGCTAATATTCAGTCACCTTCCTCTGTGACTACTGAACTATTGGAACAAGTTGCCGAGACTCATTTGAAGAAAATGAATCAATCAATGGGACACTCTATCCAGTCAATGTTTCAATAGACACAAGTTACTGTAGTGAAACTAATCTTGGTAGATTATTGTGTGCATGTGTGTATGCATGAAAATACTTGTACCTTGGCTGTATTATTGATTGTTTTTATTGCTGTCTTTTTAATCTTTTTATTCACTAGGATAAGAATTTTTTTTAGTTATTAGATATTTTTAAAAGTAGCATTAATGTACTATTGCATAGTGTATGGTGTTTCCAAAAATATTTCTGAAATGTAAAATTTTTAATGTGATCACGATCAAAACTTTGTGAATTATAAGGCTCATTTACACATTGGTTTGCATTTTTTTAAAATTGTACATTGTGAGGATTTATGTGTGATTTATATTCATTGTGCTTATTGATTGTCAGTTATTATTAATTATTAGTTCATTATTATTCATGAATGTATTTTGTATATAAGAGAGTAATTTTTGTGAGCCATTTTGTGTGACTGTGTGTGTGTGTGTGTGCAGTGTGTAGAAGTGTTTGAGCGTAGTTTGAGTGTTATTGAGTCGTTGGGAGATAGTGTGGCACTATCTATCTTTATTTGATATTATTGTTTGAACCAGTAAAACTGGTATATTATTTGAAAGAGATTCTGTTGAAATATATATTTTGTGAAATTGATAGCGAGCCCTGCATTGGCGAGCTAACTAGTGAATCCTGAGCTGAGCTGACTACTAAGGAAGCAACTATATAGACGGGCTGGACGGCATCCCCGAATCCATAGAGAAGACGCCGTGACAATTTGGTCCACACTGATCCGGATTTGACTGAGCGGCCTAGGATCTGGAACTGGTAGTAACTCTGTTGTGACGGTCTGAATACAGTCCTGAAATTGCGGCCTTGGTAAAGTACCTCCTAAGGGAGTGGTGAGTCTGT